TACTCAGACCAGCCCTTCTGGCACCAACAATCATGCCACGTTCAAAGTCACTCAAATCACCTTTCTTCCCCATACTGATGCTCGGTTTGAACTGCAGGAGATTGTCTTGACCATGTCTACATGCCTAAATGCACTGAGTTGCCGCCATGTGATTGGCTGCTTAGAAATTAAGTGTTAACGAGCAGTTGGACAGGTGTACCTAATAAAGTGGCCAGTGAGTGTATATCACAATATAGTAGGGGTGTGGGAAAATTTTTATTCATATATGAATCGTGATTCAATCTTCTACCAATATGCATCGATTCACAAATTTCAAACGTCGATTTTCTAAAGTGTCACACTTGGTTAACTTCGCAGTAATAGTTAAAGGGTTAGTTCAGCCAAAAATTCTGTCAGTAATTACCGGTACTCACCCTCATGTTGACCCGTAAGACTTTCGCTCATCTTCGGAACACAAATGAAGATATTTTTGATTAAATCTGAGAGCTGGATCACTCCTACATAGACTGCTTGGTAATTTTTCATCTGCCGGGCCAGAAAAGTTCAAGCTGCAGTCTGTAGCTTTTTTTGGGGTAAAAATGATTCAAAATACATATTTGAGAAAATACATAACCAGCCAGTGTTCAAAACTATCTGCTTGCCTTAGCGCGATTCTAAACGGTATGCTTGTAATAATGTTTTTAACTCCAGTGGTACTGGTGGATTTCCGCGGGAGATTCGAGCATGTGTTTGTGTCATTACGTCACATCTGTACACATAAAGAAGGAGTCTCGGTTATTAGGCTATACTGCGTGTGAGGATGCTGGAGGGGGAGATTTATAGCCTTTTCTCACAGCACTTGATATAATTAAACGTATCAATTTGATGGCGGATCCAGAAAGATTCAAACGACGATCATCATCAGTGACAACAGATTCACCCGCTGTAAATGCAAAAGACTTCGTTCGGACTTCGGAGTGGCTACAGAAAAAAAGAGACTGCAACCGGACCCATGCGAAAACAAGCATATTGGAAGGGCATTACATGTAGTCACGCAATGCTGACGTTGTTAACATTAACAATTTGAGAACAAAGTATAATTTGCACGGTTTTGCGTGATAAGCGATTGTTAGATTTAATCAGCGCGATTTACTGCAATGTCAGAACCAGAACAAAAGTGGATGTTACATACTTGTTCAGATGACATTTTCCGGTGAAAATTATTATGTTGTTGTTGGTCATACTTCCAAAAAGAATAATCTGTGATTCTGAATGACAGTATCGACACAACGGCGCGGTGACTGACAGCTGCACACTCTCCTCAAACACTGTGTTCATCCGCGCTGTGCCGTGTCGAGGGTGTCGAACTACAACTCACGTAAAGTTGATAATTCCACGAATGACTGCAATTGCAGATTTTGAACAGAGATGGCGACAAAGAGGAAAAACTGCGCACTGCAGCTTTAATAAAGACATCGTTAAAATAGTCCAAGTGACTGCAGTGGCTAAACCTTAAGTTTATCAAGCGATGAGAATACTTTTTGTGCGCAAAAATAACTTCAACCATTAATTTTCTTCTGGGTGGGCCTCTGACGTGAGTTCACGAGAGCGCCACGACGCATGCGAAACTGAGAAGATTGGAATCTCATAATTACAGTAATTTCGACATGGTTTGGACACATCTGGTTTTCGCCCAACTGTTCACACCAATTCATAACTGACTGTGTTTATACTTCACACAATGGACATTTTGATATAATTGTGTGTGTATTTGTCCATTTAAGCGCAATAAGCCGTGAACGAGAACTGATTTCGGGATCCCATGCTGTCTAAGAGAGACAACTATCTGTGCTCGCCCTTCGGGTGTGTCAGTCAGCACATCTTGTTGAGAACGACTTCTTGCGACTCATGCACATCCACTTTTTACCTGTTACGTTATATTTCCATATTGTGTATAAACGATATAGCAAAGTTTGTAATAATAGGTGCTTTATATCAATGTTATGACTTATATCCTCATCCTGCCCAGCCCAACTGGTAGTCTTGTCTAATTCAAAGAGTTTCTTTTCTTGTTTAGAGTTGTTTATTCAGTAATTAAGCTAAGTTTAAGGTTTATTTGAGGTAACTGAAGAACATCTCAATAATGCCGCTTGTTTTCTCCTCCAGGTTTGGCTTTGGCCTGCCCACATCCCGAGCGTATGCCGAATACTTAGGAGGTTCTCTGGCCATCCAGTCGATGCAGGGCATCGGCACAGACGTCTACCTGCGCCTCCGGCACATTGATGGCAAAGGAGAAAGCTTCAGAGTTTGATGTCATGGTCTATTCCTAGAGTTTGTGGTCAGTCACCATGTTGAAGATATTAAGGGTCGAAGTTGAACCAAAACCAGGACGTTCAACGGTTAGCCTTTCGCTCGTATTACCCGTCCTCATTCACTGCATCACATTTTGGATCACGTTTTCAGCATATTATTGGTGTCATGCTCAGGATTCACATTGCGTTTTGTTTGTCGTTGTGATTAAAAAAAAAAAAAAAAACTTTCAGCCTTAAGATTGCTAAGCGATTTCATGATTAAAATCCAGCATGTTACTGTCCAACGTGAGACGAGTCCTTACGTTTCAGACTCTAGCAGAAGATGCTCTCCAGACAGCCATATGCTGGTTTCCTTCAGAAACATGAGGGAACTCTTTAAAGATGCAGTGTTCACTCCAGCGGTGAATGCAGAAGCTCAGAAAGGCTGTTAGTAATCTTCTATGAACTCTGACTAGAGGTCAACTGCCTTATGACGAAGACTCAAAAATGTTGTTAGTCTTTCTTCACACCAGTCTGATGTTGAGTTTTGATATTTCACATTGACCACATGAGCTTAAGAGTTTGTTGTAGATTTCATGCTTGAAATGGTTTGCAAAAAAAGTCTCTTGGGGTTAGCGTAGCGCAAAATATATTGGTTTTTGTTTTTGTCTTGTCCTTTTCTCCAGCAAAACAGTGTTTATAGAGATGTTCATATTTGAATGGATGTTTTTATACTACCTAGTTGCACATGTGGTCTCTCGATGGGTTTTGTTAAGTTCATGTTCTAAAAGGATGCCAACATGTTTGAGACTGAGATTTGTTTACCAGAATGGATTCGAAATTGTCCCCAAATTGAAATGCTAATCTAACGGCTCAGTTCACATAGTAAAAGTAATCTGTAACATATTTTGTCTTGTAATGTTGTGCCTGTGGTTTCTTTTCTGTCCTTTTGAAATGACTTGCAAGAAAAGGAGCCTGTGTGTATTCTGCTCATCTGTTCTCAAGTGCTTCAGATTTGTTGCCCATGTTTGCCCCCTACTGGTGGAATCTGAAAAGTATTAACTTTGACGTTAAAAACATGGACATACTGATAATGATTTAGTGTAATGAATAATGTACAGTAGGTTTTGGGTGATTAAGAATGAAAATAACATGCACATATTAACATATTCCTTTGTTTATATAAAAGGCCAAATTGTGGCATGATGCACCCATAATGATGTCTAGGATGGGATCATTTTATTGATTTTTTTCTTTTCCTTTTGATGTTGAGTTTGCGTTACATAGATGCCAAATACGCATAGTTTTTGGGCATTATAAAATTATGGATGAGAACATTTGTGTCTTTTTCCTTTTCTCAGTTCTTTGTTGGTTTTTAATATATATATATATATATATATATATATGAGATCTTAGAGATATACATATTCACACTGATGAAAAAGTATTGTGAATTTTAACAAGTGAACTTCATTCACCAAAAAAAGAAAAAATAGTAGTTACAACAAAAAAAAAAGTATGTTTGGCTTCAGCGACACTTTAATATAAGGTGATGTAGTTCTACGTTACTACATGTACTTTCGATATTAATGATTGTAAATTATGCATAATTACAAGTAACTAACTCTAAACCAAACCTAACCGTATGTAACTACTACGTCACCTTAAAATAATTGTCAAATACCGCGGAATTACTACAGAGTGTACTATTTAAAATCTAACTGTGCTGTCAGCTAGAGAAAATAATCTATTTTTAGATGGGTATCACTAAAATAGTTGGTCTTTAGAAAACGCCTACCTAAGCGCAAGGCTCTGAACAGCACAAGGAGTAGTAAGGCGCGGGACCATGTACTGAACTGGCCAATCAGAGAACGCTTTTTGTCTGTCACTCATTTTGCGCTTTCGGGACATCGGGTGTTTGGCGTCTTTGGAAAAAATCCCGCCTTTGCAGATAAAACCACGGCTCAGGAGAGAGAGGGTTTGAAAATGGCAGAAGTTAGCAAAATGCATTCAATTAAACAAAAAAGAACATTTTTTTATTATTATTATTGCGACGTAAAAACAAAACTTCCAGCTGGGATAGAACAGGCACACCCTCATCACGTGATATACTTAGTAGAGATCACGTGACTTAAGTCTGAATCGTCTCCGCGAACCGGTTCTTTCGAATCTTTCAAGCAACTGATTCAGAATTGGCTTGTCATAACGTTTCCATACAATATAAAGTTATATGTACTTTATTGTATGGTATTCCATGTGTCCTCTTCAGGAAGAGATATTAAAAATATTGGCATTTCATGTGTCCTCTTCAGTTTTCTCAGCCAAGCTTCAGCTCAAAAAGTATTTTAGAACCTCAATATATAGACCTATCTGTACATTAAACAGTAGTACAATTATTTTACATCCCTTGGCTGAATACTTTTTTTTTCCAGCTTTAATAAATTATATTAAGGTAGTTATTAATACATTTTATTAATAAATGTTAAGGTATTTATTGAAGCGAACTATTTTCTATGTGTGTTGATAAAACTCATACAGTAAAGTAATAAACATATTTCCAGTAGATTTTATTAGTAATATTTTTGCTATTCGGCTCATTGTGAGTCATATTATGTTTATGGCGGAGACGATTCTCAGTTCAATGAATCGCTGACTCGAGAACCGCTCAGACTGATTCAATCCGATTCGTGAATATTACGTGAACCCATTTTGTTCAACCGAAGATCCGACTCAAAAGAACGATTCGTCCAGTAATCGGACATCGCTTGATCGGATAAGGATGTCCAGCAGCTATAGCTGTCAACGTCCGTTTCTCTTCAGTATTCACTTTCAATCGGCCCTCATGTGGATGTGAACACAAAAAGTGACTGGCAGCAAATGTGATTTGGATGTGAGTATTGATGACTTCAGTACAGCTGTGCATGTTTGATCTGTGATGCTTTCTCATTGTGTGCTTCAGTGGTCAGGAAAGGAAGTTGTGCGTGGTGAGAAACACATCTGTGGCCTGGCGTTCATTGTGTATAGCTCCGGTTTGCAAAATAACCTCTGGTAGACGCTTATGTTTAGTTTAGACCGAGACTGTTCACTAACACATATTTTTGTCCCAAGCGGATGCGTATGACGTGGCGCTCATTTAAATAACCAACACAACGCAGCTACTTTCATCTTTAAAAAATAACCACTTGCTCTTTTAGAATATCGAGGTATGTGGAAAGCATATACAATGTTTTGTGGCTCCACTGTATGATCTGATATGAGCACCAGATCCTTACAAAATAATGTGGAACTTAGACTATAATTGCAAACGTCCAAAAAGCTTTTTAAATGTGTCTGCTTCCTGTGTTAAATTAAGTTGGCATATCTTAAAGGGATAGCTCACCCCAAAATGAGAATTTTGTCATTTACTCACCCTCATGTTGTTCCAAACCTGTATGAGTTTCTTCTGTTGAACACAAAAGAAGATATTTTGTAGTATGTTGGTAACCAGACAGTTGGTGGACCCCATTGACTCCCAGAGTCTTTTTTTATTTTTACTATTCCTACTATGGAAGTCAATGGGGTCCATCAACTGTCTGGTTACCAACATACTACAAAATATATTCTTTTGTGTTCAACAGAAGCTCAACCAGGTTTGGAACAACATGAGAGTGAGTAAGTAATGACAACATTTTCATTTTTGGGTGAACTATCCCAATATTCTTGTTATTCTCTTATGGTGCTTTTATACTTGGTTTTATATTTTTATTGATACAAATCATTGGCGTATCACTAGGTGGCTTCGGCCTTATTTTTAATAACCACAGTAAATTAAGAGCAAACCTCTATTCAGATGGTTAACCATTTTTAAAATAACTTATAGAACATGTTGTGGTTCCCCAGTAATGTTTCCGCTCCATTAGCTACAGCCCTAGACTTGTATGGAGTGAATCAGGAAGGATATCTTTATTTTACCAGGCTGTAGTAGAAAACGGTGCGATATAGACGAACTGTAACAGCTTGCAGTGCAATAATAGTGCGGATGCCAGTGAGGATTATGAGGAAAAGATAGTTCTGGAGTTAGCCTATCATGTGAGCTGTCAGGGAATGAAAAAGATATCAGATCTACATACAAAGTAGGAGTTGCTGGTGTCTGGTAGTACAGTTTACAGATAAACCAGTTTTAAGAAATCTTATATGCATGTTTTTTTAGATTACCGGTAGGTATTAAGTCTGTGTAATGTTATAAATAATAATATATTCTTTTTATTGGCTCACAATGTAATTTTATTGTTACATATTTAACTTGGTTTTATTTTTTATTTTTCTTGTTTATATGATGATTTGAAGAGCACTGTAACTGAATACTACAGCACCATATTTCAATTTCAGAGTTCAAGATAAATACAGTCCAGTTTTTCCTTCAGGGACAAAGAATTTCAGTTTCGGTTTTAATATTATTTATTTTCACTTAACATTTACTAATTCTTTTTGTTTTATTCTGTAACATGTTCATTTTCTTTTTTTTTACTAGAGACGTGCAATGAAAACCAGTCCTAAAGCAGGGCAAGGTCAATCAGGTATGTTTCAGATTTATAAAATAATTTTTGCCATCTGATCATTATATCACACAGATATCTGAATGATTACCATATTTATATCTCATGGTATTTATAAGGTTCTTAAAAAAATACCGTCAAACTATCGTGATGCATATCCTGAAAAATTAACAGAAATCATGACATTTCTATTGTATCATGTCCGGTATATGCCACATATATCTGGTACCTTTTTGTTACTTATTTGAGTGTTCGTTTTAATCTTGTAGTCTATTGTTTCCAATGCAGAAGTAAGCCTTTTTCTGTGAATGTGTGAGACTTACAATTCATAAGCAGCTATTACTAGAAGAAAAAACAAATTGCAGTTGACAGTAAAAATGTTTGCACGTCAAACCAGTGTTTTTATGTTTATGCAAATAAATTTAATGACAACAAATGCCAGTTTGTAATCTCAAGCAGAATAACGGGAAGCCTCACACACTCACGTTACAAATGGCCACACATGCTCTTACATTAAAAATAAGGTGTATACAATAGGCTATATGACATTGTGATTAAACGATTATTCACAGCTAATATGAGCAGTGAGCTCAACGTGCCAATGGGCTCCCCCGCTCCCGGGGGCTCCGACCGGCTGCAGGATGGTGGTGGCATGGACTACAGGGACTGGGTTCGCCGCAGTTATCTGGAGCTGGTCACCTCTAATCATCACTCGGTCCAGGCTCTCTCGTGGAGAAAACTCTACCTCAGCAGGGCGAAGCTCAAGGCCTCCAGCCGAACCTCAGCCCTGCTGTCTGGCTTTGCCATGGTCAGTATATGACGCTCTGTGTGATCCTTCAAATGTGTGTGGCTCTTGGCAGCTGACTTGTTACCTCACTGCCCGATCAGGAAAATACCTCACGAATCTGATTTGGGACAGACTTCTGACTGAGGCAGCGTAACGTTTTAATGACCTACAGCAAAATAGAGTGAGCTTTGGCGATAACTAAGCGAATATTTAATTACCACGATAGTATAAAGTTGGTTCCTCCGAAGGCAGCATTTTTCAGCTTACGGACGCAGCCTATGAGACTTGTTTTGTTAAGCTTGCGTGCTGTTGAATTTCTTAGAAACATTAGATGGTTTGGAGATTGTCTGAAACATTGTCCTGTGAAACTTTGAACCACTTTTGGCCAAAATAGATCATAACAGTGAACACCCACATGACCGGATGTATTTTTCACATTCATTATCTCCATAGGGATTTCAAACATTCTTCAGTAAAGAGTTATGAAAGCAACTAACTCTGAGATGAATCGCATCATTATACACTTTGATTTGAAGCAAGCAAAAGTGAAAAGACAAGACTGTAGCTAGTTCAATTATTATAATTCTATCCATTTTTATTTTATTTAAGGACAAAACAGAATCATTATATGTGATTTGTTTTGTTATTGATGTAGATATAAAACTAATTTTCTGACACACAAAGAAAGTGTAATCTGACCGACTTGACTGCATTGTTTGCAATGATTCATGGGAGTGGGCAGTATTTGTTGAGCTACCGTAGTAACAACATCTTCTCTAATAGAGTGCAACAGTCGGGTTCTGGAGTTAAAAACTCTATTCATTTTCTCCATAGGAAAATTATTTTTTAACGATAACTTCTAAACCTTTAAAGACAATCTTACAGTGAGCTACAATGTTGTTAATCGATGGTATTTGCGTCCGTTGAAGACGTCAGCCTCCATTATTTCAACTTAGTTTTCAAATAATCGTGTTTAACAGGTGAATTTGTGATGAAAAACTACATTACCCATTATGCTGATTACACTCTCAAAATACTTCAATATGTGCATGTTTTGCAATAAACTTTAAATATATTGTTTTTATATACATTATCAACATTTTAAAATGAATAGTTGTTTATTTCTCCATCGTTTTTGATTTGATTGTGGTGTTCACAATGCTTCATGGGATTGTAGTTCTTTTCCTCACTAAAGCCGTTTAGTTCACAGTCTTGTACCTTTTTATATTTCCGTCAGATTTTTAAATCCTTTTTTGCTCCAAATCAAAGTTTGTAATGTTGTGAATCACCTCATAGTGAGTTGACTTGGTTCATGGCTTTGAACGCTTTAACAAAGACTTTTTTTAAATCCCTATGGGAGAAATGATTGGAAAAAAATACTTCTAGAACCAACGTAGCTGGGAAAAAGGGTGGGCACTGTTGCACGGTATTTGTGGATTTTTCATCAGGATTATGGGTAGTGTAGTTTTTTTTGTTGGGAATTCAGCTAATTTATTTTATTTAAAGCTCCAGTCTGTAACTTTTTTTAAGTTAAAAATAATCCAAAATAATTATATTAAAAAAAAACGTATTCTGCCAGTGGTCAAAACTATCTGCTTGCCATAGCTAGATTCAAAACGGTTAGCTTGTAATAATGATTTTAATTCCAGTGGTACTGGTGGGTTTCCGCGGGAAATTCGAGCATGTCTTTGCGTCATTACGTCACACCCGTACACATAAAGAAGGAGTTTCGGCTAGCCGGCTATACTGCGCGTGACGAGATGTTTAGATGTATAGGCTTTTCTCGCAGCACTTTACATAATTAAACTTATGGCATCCAGAAAGATCCAAACAACAATCATCAGTGTCAACTGGAGATTCAGCAGTTATAAAACCCAAAAGACTTCATACTTCGGATTTAAGGTGGCTAGAGAAAGAGAAAGAAATCGTCTCATGCGAACACAAGGATTTAAACATCGGCGGGGCTTTTGAAAAGTGCGTGAACTCCGTGTTTTGAAGGGGTTCAAAACGGAAGAAGAGACGGCTTTTTTCTGCTGAACAAGTAAGACATTTCAATAGTTCAATCGTGTAACAGTACGTTTTCTTAATTCACACAGTTATGGAGTTTCCTTTGTTGTGCCTTTCTCGTTTTGCTATTATGGAGAATATGAATTCTGAACTACGCAGGTAGCTGCTAACCATAAAACACATTACATTTAACATTAGTCACGCAATGCTGATGTTGTTAACATGAACAATTTGAGAACAAAGTAGGCTATAATTTGCACGGTTGCTGTAAATCGCGTTGATTAAATCTAACGAAGCTTATCATGTCGAATGCTTTTCCCCCCTTAGTTGGTCAGAACAAAAATGGATGTTACTTGTTCAGAAGACATTTTCTTATGAAAATTCTTATGTTGGTCAAACTTTCAAAAAGTGAATCTGTGATTCTGTATGACAGTATCCACACAGCGCGGTGACTGACAGCAGCACTCGCCTCAAAACACTGTGTTCATCCGCGCTGTTTCATGCCGATTTACAACCCACGTAAAGATGATAATTCCGCGAATCACTGCAGTTACAGATTTCGAACAGAGAGATGGCGACAAAGAGGAAAAGATACGGACTGCAGCTTTAAAATGACACTGACTTGTATTAATGTTTTTGAAAGAAGTCTCTTCTGCTCACCAAGGCTGCATTTATTTGATCAAAACACAGTAAAAACAGTAATATTGTCAAATATGTTTTCTGTTTGAATATATTTTGAAATGTAATTTATTCCTTTGATGCAAAGCTGAATTTTCAGCATCATTACTCCAGTCTTCAGTGTCAGATGATCCTTCAGAAATCATATGCATTTTTATATTTTTTTATCATTAAAAAAAAAATCGAACGGGATTTTTACTTTTGATGTCTTTAAGTTTATATCAAATAAAAGCTGCTTTCAATTCAGTTATCGTTTATGACAGCCACTATAATTTCTTAATGTGGTCATGACCAGGTGGCCATGGTGGAGGTTCAGCTGGAGATGCAGTACAACTACCCACGTTTCCTGCTCATTGCCTTCAGCGTTTGTACCACAGTGCTGGTGGCCGTCCACCTGTTCGCCCTCCTCATCAGCACCTGTATCCTACCCAACGTGGAAGCCGTCAGCAACATCCACAATCTCAACTCCGTCTCCGAGTCTCCCCACGAGAGGATGCACCACTACATTGAGCTGGCCTGGGGCTTTTCCACCGCTCTAGGGATCATTCTGTTCCTGGCAGAGGTGGTGCTCCTCTGCTGGATTAAGTTCTTGCCGGTAGACTCTGGTGCGCAATCCGCGTCAATCCAGGCAGTCCTTAAGCAGCAGAACTGTAGCTCTCCTGCGGGTCAGCCCGGCCACAGTGGCTGGCAGGCGGCCTTGGCCTCCACCATCATCATGGTGCCGGTTGGATTGATCTTTGTGGTGTTCACCATTCACTTCTACCGTTCGCTAGTGCGACACAAAACTGAGCGGCACCATCAGGAGATCGAGGAGCTGCACAAAATCAAGGTGCAGCTGGACGGCCATGAGCGAGGCTTGCAATCGGTGTGAGATCTAGGGATGCTTTTCGCTCCATTGCTAGACTCTTTAAGCTTTCAAGCACATCAAAACTCCTTGAGTCTTTCGGGCTTATCTTATTCTTAGAGGAAATGCCTTTTTGCCTGGTGAAAGGATTACTCGTGTAGGAACTGGGGAAGATTTTCAGAAACAAAGGCGCACGTTTACAAGATTTCAAACAGAAGGGCTATTTATTTATATTTCTTTAGGCTTAAGGTCACTTTAAGTGCCATTTTCTGTTTCTATGCCTCTAAATACACTAAGTGAATATCGCAGAGTGGCTTTCTTTAATATCATTTGCCTACTTCTCTTCCTTTTGCCATGCCATCCTGGATCGATAGTGAGACCAAATGATTTGGTCTTGGATCCATTATTGATCAGAGTCACTGCCAGAGTATCATTGACTAAAATATCCAGCGTTTGCAATGTACGTGCTTGTTTGGGCTTCAGTTTAAAGTGATTGTCCAGCCAAAAATGAACATTCGGTCATCATTTACTCACCCTCATGTTGTTCCATACCGGTTTGACTTTCTTTCTTCTTCAGAACACAAAAGAAGATATTTTGAAGAGTGTTTCAATGTTTATGTCCAAACATGGACCAAAAAAAACGCAAAGACACTGTTTTAGCAGAGGAAAGAAAGTCATACGGGTTTGGAACGATATGAGGGTGAGTAAATGATGACTGACTGTTCATGCCTTTAAAAGTGATGCACCACATAGTTTAATAGTGGATGTGTAATACTGTAATTTTCCAGCCTGCAGAATTGTCATGGCAAAAAATGATTAGTTTTAAAGCTGTTACAGAAGTATCGCTCATAACTAGACCTATATGTAGTGCAGTATTTTTAGCTTGGGTGTGAAATCTAGACGCATTAGCCATGCACAGTGTGCGCTTGTATTTCATTGAAGCTTTTGCATGTGTAATGCACTGTCACTTGTCAAGCACAAAGATGGAGTTATTATCCATATTTCACACGAGTCCAGCTGAATGTTATTCCTGTGGGCTACTAGAAGTTTACACTGTCGATGACTGTAATCGCACTCAAAGATGATTCGCTCCAAGAAATTACTTTTAATGGGGACAGTTAGTTATAAAATACTTGAGACAAAGGGGCTTGCATCACTGGCCGAGCTGAAACCGTTTAATGTGAACCGAGTTGGCAGTCCTGTCGTCAGGCTCAAAAATAATGTAACGAGTCAATTTGAGGAAAACATTCCAGGGGGGAAGAAGTCGGACCAATTTCTGCCTGCCTTAAATAACTAAACTTGTACTGTAGTCCATGGAAATGATGTGTCTGGTTTGTTTGCAGTATGCAGACTGATTTCAACTGCTGTAGTTCTTTCAGGAGGCAGAGTTATAGTTTGCTGCTTTGTTTTATGCCTGAAGCATTAATTTAATTTAATAGTATGTTCATGAGTCGACTCTGTAATTACGGTAAGCATAGTGAACCGCTACTCTTGTCACAGTTGCTCAAACAAGGGAACTTGACCAAAATTGTGTACTCTGCTTGAAGGGGCTTTAAAAAGCACTTAGCTTTGGTGTGTGTGTGTAAAAATATTTTTTGTATCATTTTTGATACTTTTGTTGCATTGTGCCACACTATCAGTAGAGAAACAAGAAACTCAAGTGAATATCTAGTGTGAAACGTATTTTGCATCCAGAACATGTAGCCGACTATTATCGAAATGTTATGTTGAGCATGTCCTTTCACACTCTGTCTGTACTTGTATGTTAATTTATGTCAAATAAACAGCCTATTTTGTTTACTTCAAAACATTGTCATTTCTGTGTCCAATGGAAATTTGGCATGCCTCAGCGATCTATTCAAGAAAAAAACTGCTTTTTTAAAAATTATTTAGTTTGGAATGACTGAATCAGCAGACAAAGGGTGAATGTGAAAATGTCTGGGTCATGTCACTAAAATCTCAATTTCATTAGTAGAAAACAATAGGTGCGTCCCAATTTGTGCACTATGCTGTTTTGTATTTAGTGCGAGTGGCAGGTTCCTAATAGAAAAAGTGCACTTTAAATACTTTAAATACCTGGATGACAAACTCAATAAACGGAAAAAAAACTAAGCCTGCGTCCGAATTGAGTAGGTACTTATTTTGGATAATTACTTCACGGATGCTAAAGAAAAAAGTTCTATTTAGTATAAGTTATGAATGTAATCTAGATGTACTACATTCGCAATGCTGTCATTATCATGTGAACTACCGGCGTCAATTACGTCACTTTACTGCCATTCATAAATCCTCTCCCGTGGCCTCATGGATAGTAGTGTCCATCGTATGCACACTTCAGAATCTTGCCAGAAGTAGGTCATCTGGGTATACTTTTTGCCTACTCTTTTATGAGTACTGTGAATTCGGACATACTACTTTTGTCACATACTGTTTTTCGGCTACTATAGTAAGGAAGGATGTGATTTTGGATGCAGCCGATGAGTGGCATGTTGGACAGTTCATGCACTCAACTGTCGCAGCTTTAGTTACGTAGCGGAGGGGCTATCAGACTCTGATGTTGAGGGACCAAATAACCTTAAATTCATACACTGCACGGTTGTGTACATAGTGCATAAGTGTGTAATTTGGGACTAAACTAATATCTTATTAAAATTGCATTATTGTAGTATTGTATTTGTTCTACCTTTTAGTTAAAAACATCATTACAGTGATTTTTTTTTTTTTTTAATTTTACCCTAGTTCAGTGGGAAAGTTACTATTAGAGTAAGAAAAATGGAAATTATAATAATTTGGCTTGATTGGGAAATGTGCTTAATTGGCTTACAAATGTTGTCACTATGCAAAATGAAAAGAAAATTAATCCCATGCATTGTTACCTTTTTTTAATGTAAAATATAATGCCTGTTATTTTGACTTTGTGCTGAAATATGGCCCGGGCATGTTTGTGTGAGATTCATGTAGTGCTGCATTAGACTAATCCTGGTCATTAGTATCTGCCTTGGCTTTCACTAACCGCGAGTGAATGGTCAGGTTTCACAGCTGTGACTGGCAGGCGCACATGAACCAAGGCTGCAGTCGATGATAAGGTGACACGCTGGCTGAGAAAAGCATTTCAAATGAGATTAAAGCATGGGTCTAGTTATAATGCATATAAATTCTAAAAGTCTTATATAGCCAACCTTCTGCACAAACATTTAAAAGAACATACATCAGCAACAACAACAAAAATCACATTAATATCCAAAATAAGGATATTGTAATAATTAATGATTGTATTACCGGTATTACCAATAGCAAAAGATTTAATATCTGTATTTGGAATAGAGTGTTTCTGCATTACAAAGTATGTGTTACACGGATACTGTGTATTTTCTTTAGCATTCTACATGCACAGAACACTCAGATAACATACTTTAAGCGAAATGTTTCCCACAATGCAATGTTATCAGATGACAAATGCACTGGACAAATGCACTGGAAGTAATATTTACCACAGAATCTTTTTTGACTAATTTAATTAGACTGTTAAGAAATACGATTTTTTTTATATAATAGTTCAGCTGCACTGTACACTCTTAAAAATAAAGACTCCAAAGAATCCACTTACTTCTTAAGTGATGCAGAACCATTTTTGGTTCCTCAAAGAACCTTTCAGGCAACAGCTCTCAGTTTTTCTCTTATAGAGTAAAGAAAATTGATTATCTGAAGAACAATTTCCAGTATAAAGAACCTTTTGTGCAATGGAAAGATTCTGTGAATGTTAAAAGTTCTTCATGAAACCAATAAAGAACAATTTATTATGTTTTAGTTTTGCATTGCACACATAGCCAATCTATGGAAACCCTCCTGAGCCTCCTCACATTAAAGTCCATGTTCTGTCATGAGGCTACAAAAATTGACATTTGATTCATTTAATAAGGGCTGAAGTGTTGGAAAAACACTGCTCTCATATCTAGTTTTATTATGGCTGTTTTCGATTAGTCACAAGCGACTTTTAATCAAATGAATTAGCAGCCAATTGTTTGAGAACAACCAACCTGTTTCAACCTGAACTCAGGTTGTCTTCTGAACTCAGTGACATTAATTAGTTCTCTAAATTAATAGTGATCCCTTGGGCTTGATTGGAAATTCAAGTGAAGCTGTCTTGTGCCACAGGCTAATGATGATGAAGTGACAACAGGTGTGCAGTTAAAGGCCTTATAGCCACTAGACAAACTATAAAGGTTGAAAGGCAAAAACAGTTACCGTGTTGTCTAATCAGTCATTGGCTTGACAAACAGCGGGGTTTGCTTGAAGATGCTGTTGTAGGAAACCAGTTTCAGACAGACGTCCACGGTCTTTAAAGCTTTAGAACAAATTCAAATGTGCAGTGCCAACCAGGCAAGTAGCCTATTTGACTTATGACTAATTTCTATAAAGAAACAAGCCTATGTTTACGCGTTTTTGTTGTTAAAACGGCGAGACGGTCGAGACGTCAGTGGAACGACAAAAGGCGAATAATAACGCGTTTTTTAAAAGTTGAAATTGAGTGCCGCGTTTTTAGAATGACGTGTCATGCGCGAGTCGCTGCAAAAAGACACAAGGCCCGAGCTCAAGTCCGTGTTTTTCAGGTTAGTTTCAGACTTTGGTATGTTTATTGGTTCTGATAAATTTTTGAAAAAGACCATGTAGCGATCGCGAAGATCCTGCAGCGATGATGAGTGAAAGAACATGTCTGACTTGGTATTGCTGCCCTTGGCATCATTGACCAAGATCTGATTGAGTTTAATCTTCTCTCTGAGCTGTTCTCGTGTTTGTAGGTCGTTCTTTAAGCAGAGACCCAGTTTGCATTACAAAGGTTGGAACCAATAAAACGAGAACCCTTTTCTTGTCTTTCTGTCTTAACTGGTGGCACAAGTTCTGTAATGAGGAAAATGCAGTGGTCTTTCATGAAAGGAGGTTTCAGGGAGTGGTAAACTCTTTGAGTCTGGGTTTCCCCTTGGCCCTATTTTTAGACCTGGGATATCATTACCAGTTCTTTAAAAGCTCTGGTTTAATCACTCTTATGGAATCAGCACAGAGCGCTTGTCCCAAACTGTTCAAATGGGGTTCTAGGTTAAAATTTTAAGGACTTCTTTATGCCAAAAATGTTCTATAGGCCTAAGGAGAAATGTCTTAAATGATTGTGTGGTACTTTCATGTTTAATGGGTTGGACAGGCTTGGACTTTCTGTTTTTCACATTCTTTTGCATCAAATTATGTGATTTGTGGTGGAGCTAGCTGGTTTTGATTCTGGCCACATTATAAAACAATTGATCATTGTGGTGCTTCATTGAGTAGGCTATGCCTTTGGTTACTGACTGAGTGAACTCTTGCACTTGGGATGTTCAAAACCGATTATCTACACTGTAAACCCTAACGCTCAAAATACTTAATTGGTTTGAGTAGGAAAAACTTAAATTAAACTAATTAGTTCAGTCAAATTAACTTTTATGAGTATTTAGCACTTTCTTTTTCTTTCAAGTTCACAGAATGCATATATTTTAAGTAAACTGAACTGTTTCATTGTTTTGAGTTTTATATGAAATTATTTATTTTAATTTAGACGAACTTAAGTTTAACTGAAACGGCTGGGATGTATATTTCCCAGCATGCTTTGCCGATGGCACTCGAAAGGGAGAGTAAATGCTAAAATTAAGTGTAATACAATGGTTTTTTGTGCAAGATTAATGTTAAGCGGGTGATTTAGTAATGATTAATGTTTCGTTATGCTAATTTAGAAGAATTTCTGTTAATGTTGGTTTTAGGATAGTTACCATCATGGTGATGACAAGTGGTGCATGAGCTTGATTTGAGAGCAAATAAAACCTTTATATTGCTGCAATTGTTACTGTATAGCATACTATTGTTAAGATGTTAACAAAATAGTATGTTAGCAAACTAGCTTGTTAAAGCTAGCTAAGTTTATACTAATAAAAGTGTTCACATTGAGATTACATGAAATTTTAAGTTAAAATTAGTGAATTTAGAATTAGTGTACTCAAACATTTCAAGTTAAGAACAATTCAAATGTACAAATACAAAATAAAAATATGTCAGTTCTGCTTACTTAAACTTTGAATTTCTTAACTTAAAAAATTTGGGTTTTATTGGGGTTTGCAGTGTATTAAACACTTCAAATACACTATTCATGCCTTGAAGTTTTATTTAGCAACCTAAAGGGCTGTTTTCAAATAAGTTTTTTTTTGTGTGTGTGTTCCACTGAACCATTTTCAAAATGGTTTCTTTGTTATTCAGCCGTTAAGACTTTATATAAAATAAGTTGTTTAGTTTGGGGCCCCTTGGTATGAGTGTTGGTTATTCTGTGTTTTAGTCAGCTGTACTGTAACTGTACTGTAGGCATTACATATTTGCTGTCACTAAGCTGAAACAGATGGCAGACACTATATTTCAGCATAAGCTCTAACTTGTTGCTATATATGAAATGCTCTGCTAAAATGAACGAAGCCATTCAATTTGAATGGAACTATGTGAAAATAGCATCAAATGATCTGAATTAGTTTGATCAGCTGTCATCAGTATCAGATACTGTCCTGTGCTCTTCTAAAACTGTTTGGGTTCAGTAAACAAATGGTTTGAATTACTATTCTAAAAATCAAAGAATTAATATATGATTGAAAAAAATACATGAATAAAAGTCAGCATGACATGAAAATTCAGTTTTCATTGACTTATTGCGACTACTAAATTCGTCTGTGTATGTTTCATTTTTAAAAATTGTTCTTGACCTCGTAACATTTAATCAAAATGGACCATTATAAAAACAACTCTCTGATTAACTATTCAGGTAATCATTTAGGGTACGTTTACACGACAACAATGCACTAAAAACGTTTTTCCTTTGTTTTTCATATACAGACGACGTTGTCAAAACAATCCCTGTTCACACGGATCCGCGGAAACGTTTTAAACGCTGCTGTATTATTCTTGCCAGGCCAGTAGTTGGCGATGCCACTTTGTAAAGCATCACCACGCGCCTATAGACTGAACACGTAATATGCATGCGCATGACGTCACCGTTTCTACAAATTCATGGTTTTGTAGTTTACACGTAAAGCAAAACGGTATTGTTTTAAAAAAAAAATTGCACTTTGAAACATGTTTTCAAAAGTTTGCATTTTCAGGCTCTCGAATGCTGTTGTGGTGTAAATGAACGGCCAAAACGCATAAAAAGTTTTCCATTTTTAGTTGTAAACGGCCCAAAAGTCTACTTAAATCCCACCCTGCTAGCTCACGTTTGTTCATCTGCTTCCACTTGAGTACAATGCCCACATCTCAAAAACCAACCAATGCATTGAACCAAATCTCCTACATTATTTGTTTTCTTTTCCTATACATCCATTGTGTGTACACCACAATACGAAAGGAAATATCTAATACTACTTCCTTTGCACTGCGACTGTAAATAAGAGTCAGCAATGATGATCAGCAGGGATTATATCTGTACAAATTTAATATTTACACATTTCAGAAATTAGTAGACCATAATAACCACCACATAAAAATAAATCTTACATTTTAGTTTTCCCTGGGATAACAATTAGCAAAACGTTCACTTTAACACTGTGCAATAATTATGTAAAATCAGACAAATTAGCATTTAAGGCATCTTGAAAAACATTTGTATTTTTTCCGTATTTGAGCAGTCTATCCATCGGGTGAGTATATTTTAATGAGGTGCTGCAGTCCTGAAGGGTAGCCGGTGAGGGGACACCTCTGGTTGGCTTTGACATACACATATATACACTTGTAACAAAACACGTAGCCTGAAGTGGCGAGGGCAGTGTCATTGGTGCGCACTTTCCTGCAGAGCGGGCAGACTTTGATGTGTGTGAGTGACGTCTCCTGGCTGTGGAGGTGGAGAGGTGGCGGAGGGGTCGGAAGGGAGGTCAAGGACTTAACCGTGCTCTGGTTCTCGGATGAATACCACCACTCCAGGAACTGCAGGAAAAACACTCCCATCGAAAGGCTGGTTGAAAGAGATACAGCCACACCGCCAACTGCTGTAGAGGCCAGACGCTGACATTTCTCAACAAAGCTGAAAATCAAGATATTTTTGTTATGATTAAGCGTCTTTTTATTTTAGTAAACCTCGAAAAAATAATGTCACAATGTAATAAGAAAAATCTTGCTGATTCTTTCATCTTTATGGGATTTTTTTTTCTAGGGCTGTGTAAAAAAAAGAAAATTGATTTCTCAATTTTAATCGATTTTTATTTTTATGAACAAGTTTTGATTCTTAAATCCCATGAATTGATCTTTTTAGTCTATGCTGTTCTCAGTTGATGAATGAACATTGTAGCGCGCCTGCCATCCAATAAATCGCAATGAGCGTTGTTATTTTTGATATAAAATGGACAGAATTTGAAATCTGAGACTGTTTCATAACAAAATTCAAACAATAAATATCATTTTGGCGCTCTTTAATGTGGAGTGACATCACTGTAGCGCCTCAGTTCAAGCAGCACTAACTGGCGGCACATGATCCGCTTTACCAGTTACAGCACGAAATAAACAACTGAACATCAGAAGTTATGTTGAAAGATAACAGTTCAACTTACTCAAATGAATCATGTCTCATGTAATCAATTTACCTAATGTTACATTTACTTCAGAAAAGCCATTTGGTTGGTGTCCACAAACTCATTAGTCAGAACTCTAGAGACGAGCATTTTGCCAAATATTTGCAGCATAATAAATATTCATTACTTTTTTTTTTAACTGCTCTTCAATATTTAATATACATTTGAATAAAACCGTTTTTATGACAGCCACCTTTTAAAAACAAAGTGGAGTAGAAACGTAATAATAAAGTTAGTATTATAAATTTATAATTATAAAAACGTCATTGTGTGTAATTAAAACCGGATCACACATCTGTGATGTAAAAAAGGCCTTTTTTAGCAGGTGTTTTAGGCCTAAATGGGTTAAGTGGTTGTATACAAAAACTCTTTCCCGCTATTAACTAAATTTCCCGTCGTTCCATGTTTTCACTGTTATACAGTAGGGGGCGCTATGATGCATCTTCTGAAAAAGTACAGAATCTCCAAAAATACAGGCGAAAAAGAAATAGAAACGAGCAATAGCATGTGTAAAATAATGCGATCCTCAACATTAAACAGCATATAAATCAAAACTCCCTAATGTTACTGAATGAAATGTCGACCCAGGACAAGCTATAGGACTGTGCCAGCATTAGGGGTGTTGATGGTCTGTTTTGATCATCGTTCTGAATCCGATAATATGGATTGTTGTCTTTGACAAAAACATGATTTTTGTTTTTTTTTGGACAAAATTTTGCTTTCTTTTAATGAAAATTACCCACATTCAAATGTTGATTAAAAAAATTTTGTGAAAATTATCAAAAATTGCTGGTGTGGTAATATTTTAGGAATGTAGCTACCAACTGATTCCCTTAATAGTTTATTTATAGCATTAGTTGAGAGATTTTTTTTCTTGAGAAAATTTGCCATGTACTGGCTATACCTTATTATATATATCCAAATTAATCTATATCGAATAGGGGTGTAACGATACACGAAACTTGACGGTTCGGTACAGTTCCCACGGTTTTGACGTCTCGTTTCGGTTCGGTGGGGTTTAGAAAGCTAAAATTGCTCTTTTTTTATTTATTTTTTAACAGTGGTTTAATGAAAAAATTGTGTCTTTGTCTTTAAATTAATTCAATTACAATTAAACGTTTCGAAAGGATAAAAAAAAAGATCTGCTAATGCTGTAAACTATACAGGGAGCCCGCACATTACTATAACATTAAAGGTTAACAACAGAGCCTATACATTTAGCCTAAATTCAGATGCTATTTATTTTTTAGATATAATAATCAACACTCAACACATTGTATGAAAACATGTAAACTGAACAATAGGCAGTTTTAGCATTAACTTATGTTTTTACTCTAATTCGTTATTGAAATAAATATAATATAATATACACAGTTGCTGTCATTTTCATGAAAGATATTTTAAACATACATTAAATAATCAATTGAGCGATAACACGAGTTATGATGCCTTTCAGTAAGTATACTGTATCTTTAGAATTGTGAAATTTGTGTCAATATTACCCAGCCAAAATAGACAAATAAACTCAAAATAAACACATTATAAACTCACCTTTGGCTGGGGCTCAGTGCCGGGCCTGATGGCTTGAGATCCAGGCTGTGGATGTCATTGGCCGTGAGATATGAGAGTTTAACCCCTGCCAGCCACAGAAGCGGAGAATGTGTCCGTGTTTTGCCAAAAACATACAAAAGCTGTTGGCAAAAGACCCAGCCATCCCAGGCCATGCACACAAAGGGGTACGCAGCTAAAAAAGCCCTGTACAACTTCTGCATGAAGGACTGCGGCAAGCGGATCGAGAAATCGTCTTCGTCTCTCTGTCGAGCCAGGACTTTGTCCAGTTTGGTGTGCAGGTAAGGAAGGAGGGCCAGGAGGAGCAAGGAGCGCCAGTGCTGTCTGCGCAGGAGCCCTAGATGGGCAGCACGTGTCCCGTCTGCTCCTACACGCTTCAGGCCATAGAAGTTCTCTGAGAATGAGGCGCTGGTGCGGGAAAGGAAATGATGCTGCAATAACATATCCAGGGTAGCATAAATCTCATCAAACCTCCTCCATAGACATCCATAGCGAGCAGGGTTGGATGTAGCAAGGATCTGTGGACAATGGCAGGGTTTTTACATCAGGAGCATTCAATGCCAGCACAGGTAACAATACTGTAAAGTACAGTTTTATACTTTTTTTTGAATATGTAACACAATAAGTATGCTCAAAAAGGACTAGCCTATGACAGGGTTTTCAAACTGGGATGCACGGAAACATTTAAAGAAAATGTTAAAATAAATGAATAAATAAATAATAAATCTAATCGTACATAACTATAATGAGTTGAAACTAAATATTTTCTAAAACATATTTTAGACATATTTATAATACTATTTTTTTTTACAGTATATAAATTGGGTCTTTATACAAGAAACTATATGCCTATAGAATAGATGGATTTTCAATTATATCATGGGGGTCCATGGCATGGAGAAGACCATAATTGGGGGTCTGTGTGGCATCTAAAAGATTGAAAACCCCTGACCTGTGCCAAATTTCACAAAATAAAATGGCTATTTTGTGTTTTAAAATGCAGTTGTGTAAAATGCTTCAGGCAGATAAAGGACAGTTTATAATACATCTAGTTCATTCTTCACACTGGAAATGAAAGGTCAAGTTGAACGCACTGCATTGTGGGATATAGGTTACAAGCACAGTGTTTTTTATGCTGCAAATCATGGAAAAAATAGGTCTTGATATTCAAATGAGCTGAATTAAGTCCCAGAACATATACTACAGTATACTAGAGGTTGTTATGTATACAGTACACACAGTATACATATTATATACTGCTAGTATTCAATTTCTCACACAATTTAGCTCAAGTTCTTAATGTAAACAACTTGAAAATCTGTCCGGTGTTTGAGCACGAGCCAAGGATAGATGTTTAGATGGAACACCATCATCATAATGTCAGCCAGGTACCAATGTTTGTCAAACGGTAGCAAATGCAGTACAAGGTGTTTTAAATTCGTAAGCATACCTTGACAGCATGCAGTAATGCAGGTTTGACAGCGGCCATCAGTGAGTCCTGCGCTAAAACCTCAAACACAGACGGCCTGTCTTCAGCGGGAGCCGCTGTGGTCAAATGCGCTCCTCGCTCTGCCATCACACCTGGATGTGAACTTTGACAGTTCAGACAACAATAATGTGTTCTTAAAAGTGTTTTATTAGTCCTAAAAGTTTTTTAATAGTATTACATCACACAAGACTATTTGGGAAGAAAAGTACTGTGCAGGATTCAACTGTCAATGCGTTTTCCTGTGACTGTCGGTATTCTTCTGTGTGCTCACTGGAGGCTTCTAAGCCAACAAACAGCTTCATACTGCCACCTTCTGTGATGGAGTGAGAGGAGGATGAGGTTTAAAAAATGGGATTCTATTTGTTCTTTCGGCCACTGGACTCTAAATCTATCCAGAAAACTACTTTTCAAAATAAAATTTTAAATGGAATAACGTCAGATCGTGAAACATCAAAAACAATGCTTGAAACAATGATGCATGTTCATTCTTAAAGATAAAAGTGCCATTGTATCGTAGTTAATACTGGGAAATATTATATATGCACAAAACTTTACAATAAGGAACTGCACTTCTGTGGCATTTATTAATCTTTGTTAATGTTAATTTAAACATTTACTAATACATTATCAAAATCAAATTATGTATTTGTTAACATTAGTTAATGCACTGTGAAGTCACATGAACAAACAATGAACAGCTGTATTTCTATTAACTACCATTAAAAAAGATTCATAAATACTGTAACAAATGCATTGCTCATGGTTAGTTCATGTTAGTTAACGAAACCTTATTGTAAAGTGTTACCGGAAATATGGGCTCTTTGTAAACCCTAATTTATATTCATATTTATTTTGGTCCATTAACTCAAAAACAAAGCCATAGAATAAAATGTAAAGAATTACATTTATATTAAAAAAATATTGTCCTTGCAACATTAACCAGTGCAATAAAACTATATATTTTAATATTTATAATACATTATAATAATATTTTCCTTTACAAATATTTATGTATATATACAAAATGCAATAATATATAAAGGCTATATATGATTTATATATTATTATTATTATTATAAATAATACACCACACAACTTGCAGGTCATTTTCGGAGAGGCTAGCAAGTCACAGCTTTCCATCTCTTCCAATTAACAGTAGTGGCGTGAACGCAGCATAAGCTGGTTGTTTTGGTTCAAGGCAGCTGCTGTTTCGGTTGTGGTGCTCGGTGACTGACGTCTGTCTTAATCTGTGTAGCATGAAACACGCTGATGACGTGTGATGTCTGCGCAGCAAGCAGGTGCGCGGAGGTATGCAAATACATATGTTGACAGGCAGGTAGGACATCGTATTATTGCATGCTGTCTGAATGCAAGGATTGGCAAAACATTTAATGGTCCTATGCCTTCCACAGACAAGATATATACATATAAATATATCTAGACCACTTAACTTAGTGATTGATTACTATCAGGATGTGAAGAGACTTTCAGCCATGTATAACAAAAAATGTTTCTGGAACAAATCTCCTACCCTGCCTTTAAAGGATCTGTTGGTGCCGGATACCACAGAACTCGTTCAGAGGCCATGCCTTGACGCATCAGAGGGGACATAATATTAGACCGGAAGTTTTCATTTTGTTGCTGATCAGTGTATATGAGTGATTTTAGGCTCTTTAAAGATAAAAGTTGGTGGGCATCTGCTGCACATTGAATAAATTCCAATTCAAACTGCCCCCCCGACTAAAATTATGAAATTATTTATTTTCAAGTAGAATAAGCAAGCAATGAAATGGACAATAAAAAGATTCATGAGTTTAATCAATGATTACTTGAAGCAAAAGCTACAATAACGTACAAATTAATGCTTTACACAGTATATCTAGCATCTGAATATTCAATGTCACAAGTAGTAAAATAGCTAGATGTTTTAAAGCAAGCACAGTTAAAAACAATCAAGTTAAGAATAAATGTCAGATACACGTCTCTAAAAGTGTTACAGCCGTTTCTTCCGCTTCCTGAACTATACATGCAAGCACAAGAACATTTTGTAAACATTTATGAGATGATTAAACATAGTGGAATGATAAAATGTCATAAGAAATGATAAAGAAATATAGCATAAAGAAAGATGATACTTAAGAATAAAACGTCTTAGATATTGTTCTTCTGGAAGAAACTCCGAACTCCGTATACGAACCTCATATTGGAAACTGCATGAAGATGAACTTTGAAATCAACATTCGATGTCATTTCTTTGCCCTCTCATTTGTCGTGGCTCGCTAGGACAGATTTATATGGAACACTTTACCGTGGTTCTTTACTTTATTTTTGTATGACTGCGTATAGAGAAGATCATTTACTGATGATCTGGCTTCTCTCCAGTGTGGATCATCTCATGCTTTTTCATCTTTCCTAACACAGAGAATCTCTTGCCACAGTGTGAACATTTGAAAGCTTTGTGAGTTAACTGGTGCTGATTATGTTCGGAACTTGTGTAAAACATCTTCCCACACTCAAAACACGTATACGGCTTCACAGAGCTGTGTCTTTTCAAGTGTACTTTTAAAACAGCCAGGTACCTAAAACTCTTTCCACACTCAAAACACGAAATAAGTTTCTCCTTAGCATGAATTTTCTGGTGTTTCCTCAGGACCGATTCCAACCCAAAAGTTTTATCGCACTGATCACAGTGAAATGGCCCGTCTACAGCATGAGTGTGCATATGTAATTTTAGAGTGTATGCATGTGTGAAACTCTTCCAGCATTGATCACATGTGTGTGGCTTCACTCCGGTGTGGATTTTCATGTGTGTCTTAAGGTTACTACTTTGTGCATAACTCTTCCCGCACTGATCACATGTGTGCGGCTTCTCTCCAGTGTGGATTCTCATGTGATACCTTAGGCTTGATGTGCCAGTAAAACCCTTCCCACATTGATCACATGTGTGTGGCCTCTCTCCAGTGTGGACCATCATGTGATTTTTTAGAGTTTGTAGGAGAGTAAAACTCTTTCCACATTGGTCACATGTGTGCGGCTTCTCTCCAGTGTGAATTAGCATGTGGCTCTTAATATCTTGTTTTAGCATGAAACTCATTCCACATAGATCACATGTGTGCGGCCTCTCTCCAGTGTGGATTTTCATGTGTCTCGTAAGGTGGTCACTTCGTCTGTAACTCTTTTCACATTGATCACATGCGTGTGGCTTATATCCAGTGTGGGTTCTCACATGTTTAGCAAGTTCTCTTTTGCGTGCGAAACTCGTCCCACATTTATCACACGTGTGCGGCTTCTCTCTATTGTGGATTTTCATGTGTAACTTAAGGCTTTGTTTTAATGAGAAAGTCTTCCAACACTGATCACATGTGTGCGGCCTCTCTTTGGTATGAACCACCATGTGTGTCTTAAGTCCGTCTTTTCGTGTGAAACTCTTCCCACATTGATCACATGTGTGTGGATTCTCAGTGTGGATTCTCATGTGATGCTTAAGGGTGTTTTTGCAGGTAAACCTCTTCCCACATTGGTGACAGGCAGGAATCTTCTCTCCGGTGAGGTTCTTTGTGTGCCTCCTAAGGGCTTTTTTTGGTTTCTGCTTCTCTCCATTATGAACTCCCATGTGAATCTTAAGGTATGCTTTACATGTGAAACTTTTTTTACACTGAGAGCAGTTGACAGATTTTTGGGCTTCCGTTTTTCCTTTCTTGTTCACGTCCATCAGATCTAAAAAAACAAAAAAAAACATATACAATCAAAAATCAAAACGTAAACAAATAAAAATTGAACCCAAAAGTTTAGATCTTTATTTTAAAGGGATAGTTCAGCCAAATCTGAAAATGATGTAGGTTTACTCGTCCTCATGTCGTTCCAAACCTCTAAAACTTTCGTTCATCTTCGGAACAAAAATTACTATCTTTTTAATGAAATCTGAGAGCTTTCTGTCCCTCCATTGACAGCTACGCAACTACCACTTTGACGCTTCAAAACGTTCATAAATAGATCATAAAACTAATCCATATAAATTGAGTGGTTTTGCCAAATTTTCTGAAGAGACACGATCGCTTTATATGATGAACAACAGGTTGAATTTAGGCTTTTATTCACATATAAACATTGATCAGTGACCATAAACAGAAGCTCAACCGAACCTGCTTGACACGTGAGAACAAACCTCATTGGTTCTTGCAGAAGCTCAAACGTGCTGCGTAACACGAGAATGAACCTCATTGGTTCTCGCACGTCAAGTGAACATGCTTGAGCTTCTGTTTACTACAACTGATGTGTGAGTTGATGAATGTTTAGATGTGAATAAAAGCTTAAATTAAATCTGTTCATCATATAACAGATCATATTGAGTGAATAGATGACTCCAACTCCTGCGAGGACTTCAGATGAAGCAAACTCTGAATCAACATGCACCTATGCTAAATTTTCTAATCATTTTGTTAACAACATGTATACTTCAAATAAGCTCATTGTTTCTGCCCTAAATTACATTGTTAACTAACTGCGTGATTTGTATATGTGATCTATTACTTGGACACACGGTTACCTCTGATAACAGATCACTCTAAATTGTAATGTAGACATGCATTTTCTGTAAACCAGCTTTGAAACAATATGTACAAAGCGCTATACAAAAAATGGGAATTGAATTGAAATTGAATAAAGCTATCATGTCTTTTTCAGAAAATTTGGACTAAATCACTCAATTCCTTTGGATTAGTTTTACGATCTCGTTCTGAACTTTTTGAAGCGTAAAGTGGTAGTTGCGTAGCTGTCAATGGAGGGACAGAAAGCTCTCAGATTACATTAAAATATCTTCATTTGAATGATCAACAAAAGTTTTTTACGGGTCTGGACATGAGGGTGAGTAAATGATTAAAATTTTGGGGGGAACTATCCCTTTAAAAGTTTGCCATGTTAACAATATAAAATCTGGATGGTTTGTTATGCAAAAACTGCTGTGCAAGATAAAGAGCATTTTTAATGCCATGAGCATGATTTGCATAATAATTCATTATGATTTGCATTATCAGACAGTTGATGGTAGCCATTGACTTCCATAGTAGGAAAAAAATAAAATGGATGTCAATGGGTGCCGTCAACAGTCTGGTTACCAACATTCTTCAAAATATCTTCTTTTGTGTTCAACAGAAGAAAGAAACTCATTCAGGGTTGCAACATATGGAGCCCCTAAAGGGACATG